GAACAGTTTTGATATATGAAAAGCACAGAGTGCGTCTTTCTCCAGCTGACTAGTAAATTAGCATAGCCTAGGTAGGGTCTCTTGTTGTTTTAAGGAAGTTCATGTTTGATTAAACATCCGTAAATAGCCTTGACGTCATAATATATTATAATATTTTACTTGGCTAGTTTTGATTAAAGTTTTTGTCTTCTGTGTAAAAATAACTTTACTGTGTATATGTTTTTCTGTCAATATGGGGTGCTGTGTGTACATTAATGAGGAAAAAAATTAACTTAAATGATTTTAGCAAATGGCTGCAATATAACAAAAAGTGAAAAATTTAAGGGGGTCTGAATACTTTCCGTACCCACTGTATGTTTTGTAATAAAAATAAGCTTCTGTTTCATAAACTTGGTGCTGATAACAGCTTAACATTAATTACCTTAGCCTACCTTTGAGGTCTAGCTATATTCCAATATCATTATGCCTCAATTAGCAACACAGCTACAACAAATGAAATCGATAATGGGTGTGCGAATAATCAAGCATTGACAATAATCAGTCTTATTGGCGGCACTGAGGGGCCCCCCATGTAAAATTCTGCTTAGGGCCCCATAAAGGCTTGGGCCGGCCCTGCCCACAACACATTATTGCATAGCAACCCATTGGCAACCACCCACAACTCATCAGCAATCGCATAGCAACAACCTGGCAACCACTAACAACACATTATCGTATAACAACCCCTTGGCAACCACCCAAACACATTACTGCATAGCAACCCCTTGGCAACCACCACCAACACATTACAGCATAGCAACCCCTTGGCAACCGCCCAAACACATTACTGCATAGCAACACCCTGGCAACCACCCACAACGCATTATCGTATAGCAAACCCTTGGCAGCTACCTACAACACATTACTGCATCAAGCATTGACAATAATCAGTCTTATTGGCGGCACTGAGGGGCCCCCCATGTAAAATTCTGCTTAGGGCCCCATAAAGGCTTGGGCCGGCCCTGCCCACAACACATTATTGCATAGCAACCCATTGGCAACCACCCACAACTCATCAGCAATCGCATAGCAACAACCTGGCAACCACTAACAACACATTATCGTATAACAACCCCTTGGCAACCACCCAAACACATTACTGCATAGCAACCCCTTGGCAACCACCCAAACACATTACTGCATAGCAACACCTTGGCAACCACCACCAGCACATTACCGCATAGCAACTCCTTGGCAACCACCACCAACACATTACCGCATAGCATCCCCTTGGCAACCACCCAAACACATTACTGCATAGCAACACCCTGGCAACCACCCACAACGCATTATCGTATAGCAAACCCTTGGCAGCTACCTACAACACATTACTGCATAGAAACCCCTTGGAAATCACCACCAACACATTACCGCATAGCAACTCCTTGGCAACCGCTATCAACACATTACTGCATAGCAACCCCTTGGCAACCACCCAAACACATTACTGCATAGCAACACCCTGGCAACCACCCACAACACATTATCGCATAGCAAACCCTTGGCAGCTACCTACAACACATTATTGCATAGAAACCCCATGGCAACCACCACCAACACATTACCGCATAGCAACCCCTTGGCAACCACCCAAACACATTACTGCATAGCAACCCCCTGGCAACCTCCCACAACACATTACTGCATAGCAACACCTTGGCAACTATCCACAACACATTACCGCATAAAAACACCCTGGCAATCCTTCCATGCAGCTCATAATGCATTCAACATTTCCTCTATCAACAGTTTCAATGACAAAGCAGACAAGATTTTTTTAGGTTGCTTTCAGGTTGATCGAAAGTTTGTCTCAGGGTTCAGCCCAAAGTATGAGACGCTGACTATTTCATCATGAAATTATCCATGTTCCTCTAAAGGTCGAGCAAATGTTGGCCGTTTATTAGAGTCTCTGCTCACCTCTGAGGCTCCATTAGATCATGATGATGAACTGAGCACGGGCTTTATGGGATTACAGACGAGTAACACACTGGTCTGCACTATATAAACAGCAGGCTATGAGACAGTCAGGAGAACAGAAAACAAGGACTGGAAAAACAATGAACACGACAGCAGTTTATTTGAAAGTTTTACTCCTCATAGAAACAGAAAAACAAACATAATAATGCACTGAATGAAGTTTGCTGCAAACGAAATGACTAATTGATTGTGTGTGCCAGCAGGTCACTCAGTGTGTGTGTGTCTGCTGTCAGTCTTCCTCTCTTCTGTCTGTCCTCAAACCTGAGAGACCGACACAAACCCTCATCAGACAAACAGAGCCATAATGAGAGAATTAAACTCCAGTCACCATGGTTACCAAATCACCCGAGAGCCAATCAGCCCAGAGAGGCAAAAATCATCAGAGAGAACAGAG